CCTTCTACTTGATCATCTTTTCTCTTAGAATTAAGCATCCAGTGTGTGCACATGTGGTCTTCTTTCTTCTTCAGGTCACATGAGAGGCCTCCAGCTGCTTGACCTTTGATAGCTAGAGAGAGGGCACCTCAAAGAGGACAGCAGGTGCCACCCTGACCATCACAGACCATTTGTTTTCCCCTCAAGGATTCAGACTTGCTTCTCTCTCCATCCCTGTGGAGGCCATCTACAGTGATGGGGTGCTGCTGGAGTTGTACTCTCAGGGCTACTGAAATGTCCTAGGAGCTGTACATGGCATGGCCTGACCTGGGCCTGACCCAGGTGTGCCCAGTGAGTAGATGAGGAGAGTTACATGAAATTCTGGATGTGAACTGAGCTGAACACAGAATGTGAAACGAGCATCCCCCAGGCCTTGAGGTCTGAGAGTCGTAGCAAGGCAGGGAGAAGGGAGTGAAAATGAGGGTGGCAGGAGAGGGACCAGCAAAGTCTCTGGAACTGAGTCCCAGACTCAGGGTATCTCTTCTCCCAGTACTGCTACCTTTGTACCCAGCTCAGAACTCCCACAGGAAGGAGCAACACGGCTGATTTCAACCCAACCACAAGGAAGGGTACCTCTTCTGTCTTTTATTGCTAGAGATATAGGGCAAGGAAGGAAGGCACAGTGGTGCTGAGCAGCTTGAAGAGTTATCCAAGTCCAAATTCACAACCTAAACAAGCCACAGAAGCTAACCAATGAATTTTTCTCATCTGACAATGGAAATAATAAAGTCAAGTGAGATTCTCATATACCAGTTGAGATTCTGTCTGTGATGTGAGCAACCAGAGCTTCTGGCACATTCAACTCCTTGCCCCTCATTGTTCCAGATGAGGAAGTTGTCCCCAGGAATCTTGGCTAAGAGCAGTTTTACAGGATGAACTTGCAAATACCCTGGGTGGAGGCCAGTAGGAGGCACTCAGAGCATGTCCAGAATTATTCTTGAGATAAGAGTTGCTAAAAGGAGACACAGGAGCCTGTAGCCATCTCTACAAAAGGGAATAGGGATGAACTCACACTGAGAGACATCTGGGTGCAAAACTTGACTCGACAGGCATTAACATATATGTCAGAACAGAATACATGAAATTCTGTTGGCGGACTATGGGGGTTGGGGGGGCGCAGCTAGTGGAGGGAGTCTAAATATGATTAAGATATACTGTATTAAATCCAGAAATTCAATTCAAAGTATACATTGGAAAAAACCAGAAAGGGGGTTCACTTTCATAAGAGAACTGATTCCGTGGCAAGTGGGAAAGGATAGGACTAAGGGCCACTGTATATGGTCAGCATCCAACACCATGAGCTTAAGGGTCACCTCACCGTCTTATCCTTCACTTGACCAAAAGTTCCCACCTAACCTGTTCTGGGGGCAATATCATTTGAACTGAATCAAAACTGAGGCTCTCCACACTCGTGTCTATTCAAGGAATGAGCATTTGCAGGCACCAAGAGCTGAGGGAGGGGAAGGACTTCCAGGTGGTCAGGGAGAAACCATGCAGGTCAGCACACATCCCTCTCTGTGAGGGCAGCCAGGACTTCTCTCCACCTCATCTGATGCCCCGTCTGCCTGCACTATTGGACCAGCTTCCTCATTCTTGCCCATATCCCACATTGACCCCAAGAGGGAGTTTCTAGAAGGCTAGCCTCACTACTCCCCTCACTGACTTTGCTCCAGTAACTTGGTCATGAACATTAAGAACCTCCAGCAACTCATGTCTAAGGCAGACAGTTCTCAAATAAGCAGCAGCATTTGGAGAAATAAGCAGGAGTACCCTGGGGCTCTAGATGTTCCAGGCTGAGAACCAGAGAAGGCTTCAAAGGAAGAGTGATAACAGAGGACACAGCACATACAAAGCCCTGGAAATGGGAGTGAGCATGCCACTTCCAGGAGTCCCTCCATCATAAACCCTAGCAGCAAGAAAGCATGGGGAGGGTTCTGACCCAAACTCTGAGGGGTGGAGGAGAAGGAAGAGCCTCCAGAAAGTGCCCACAGGAAGTTCCATGTGGCAGCCAGCTGGTAGAGGAGAGCTTGAGACTCTAGAAGCACCTGTTCACCTAGGCCCTTCAGAATGGTTAAAAGGGAGAGAGCCGAGCAGATGCAGCAGGAGAAGGTAGGACTATGGAAGATGTGAGCTATCCAAAGGGACTGGTGTGTTGAGCAGTGACCCTGGATGATGAGGCTGTGAGGTTAGGGGATCCATTAGCCTCAGGATTCCAAGCAGAAATTTAGTTTCCAAAACTTTCAGTAAGGACTTAGCCAGAGCCTAAGAGAGACCCGTCCAGGCTGAGATGCCAGACATAAGGTCTTGATCTTCCATGCACTGTAAGTCAGATATGGTGGGTTCAGTGAGGTGATCCTTAAAGCAAATTTCTTAAGCTACTTGATCAATGTAGCATACTTCTTGGTATATCCATAGATTAATATTCAATCAGTTTTATGTTTTCTAGTTACAATGAAGCAATGGGCATTCTCCTGCCACATTAAGGCCAAAGAGAAAGTCTCAACTCAGATATTACTCAGAAATTGTAATGCCAAGTACCATCAACTATTGAAGACCCCTGCCTCGATTCAATGACCACATTTCTCTTCCTTGTGCATCCTGCTCTCCTCTACAGCTGGCTTCTGGGTCTGTCTGTCTTGGGGAAAAGCAACATTCTCAGCTGGTTATTTCTCCCTCCCTTTTTGGGAAGTGCAGCTTCTGACCCTGAGAGCTGAAGTGTAAGGAAGAAAAAGAGATGATCTCAGAGCAGGAAAGCTCTGATGAATAGGGCTCTCCTAAGAAGGCTTAGCTCATGAGCCTAGAATAGGCAGAAGGGCAATTCACTCCTGGAGATACATACTCCTGAGGAGTATTCAGGATCCTTCAGTCTGAGACCTCCTCTGTAGACCCCAAGACACTTCCATTCTTCCTCAGCTGACAGAATTCAGTATTGGCTGCCAGATTCTGTCAGCTGAGCTCTAACCCATCTCAAGTCGGACTATTTATTGTGTTCCCAAACCTGCTGGTTTTTAGGATTAGGCCAGCTGTACAAAGTTTGGGCTTAGCCTTAGGCACTTGTGAGAAGGTAATTGGGGGCATGGGGCAGGGTGTGTAAGCACTAGAGCCCTTAGGGCCTAAGTGGCCTTTCCTGGTGTATGGGAGTTGGGTGAGAGGGAAAAAGTTTAAGGCTCAGCTGTCTTCACCCCGCTACACCCCTCACCTTCTCTGAAGGAAGGATGCATAGGCCTAAGGTCACGCTTGGCCTCTTTCCTTCCCTGACCAACACCCACATGTCTGTCAGCCTCATCTCTCACTGTCCCTCCAAGAAGTTCATACCAGGGACTGTCAGAAGGACCATCTAAGATACTTGTCCTTCACATTTTTCTGAGGTTGCCAACAGTGGCCTTGTTGCTTGCCTAGCTCATTTATTTGACAAACACATATTTAAATACATATAAAGGACATTTTTTTGCTGCAAAACTGCCTCTTCTCCCTTCTGATTTTTGACTCTAATGGGGGCTATATTCTGCTGAGCCCTATTCCAATGGGAGATCCTAGCAGATCCAAATCCAACTCCTTGTAGTTCAGCATGGCTTATACCTGATGTTTTTGGCTAAGCCCCAAGGCAGAATAAGCCCACAACCCTACCTTTTACTTTCTTTACCCCATAAAGAAAAGAGAAGAGGTTCTGTCCTCCACATTGATCCCTATACTTCTCACAGGATGCTGAGGGTGCAGATGGGTCAATGGGGCCCCTTTATCCACCTGAGCCTGGGACTGGCCTGTGAATGTACAGCAGTGCTCAGATTGAACAGGTTCTGAGCTCATACTGTAAGGTTCAGCTTTAGCTATTATGAGGACCCATGTGAACAGGCGTGCCTTGTGCCTAGCATCTGGACTTATTGGCAAGATGGTAGCTGACACTGGTTTTTCTGCTAACACTGGGTACTTAGCAGCCCAGGGTTTGCAGAGACTCTCAGGAACACATTCTGATCTCCTTGGAGCAGTGAGGCAGGCAAAAAACAGAACCTCTTGACTTAGAGACAACATCTTGCCAAAGATCATCAAAAGCATCACACAACTGAGACCAGAAACCGAACTGGGTGAGTCCTGGAAGATGGCTCTCCCTCAGAGAACTCTGGACCTTTATCTGAGAACACCACCTGACCTCACACGTTATCTATCACAGCACAGGACAGCAAGCATGAGAGCATCAGAATATGTGAATTTGGCCCTGCCTTGTCACAGATACCCCTGTTCTTTGGAATAAACCTTTGTCTCTTCCTGTGTCTCCATTTCCTCCACTGTAAAATAGGGAATATGAAACTCAGTGTGATGGAGGTAAGGGTATATCTGGCACCTTGTAAAAGGCAATAGCCTCTTTAGAAGGAGACTGATGAACTCTTCCTCTCACTTCCTTTCCTTCCCATTGGGTGAAGCAAGTTGCATTAATCTGATGTCTGCATTCCCAGGTCACAATCACTTTCCTCAGCCTTGGTTCCTCTTTCATACAACACTTTCTTGAGCACTTTGTTAAAATCCCTACCAGCTCTAGGGTTCTAGTGCTCTGTTTCTTTTCGCCTGCAACTAATGCTCTCTCAAGATAGGGGAAAGGCTCGTCATTTGTGTGTGTGTGTGTGTGTGTGTGTGTGTGTGTGTGTGTGGTGTGGTGTGTGTAGAGAGAGAGAGAGGGAAGAAGTCCTGCAAGAAAGTGCATGGCAGTTAGAAAAGTGGGCAGGACCTCACATGTCAGGAGGTCTCCAAGCTCTCTCAAGACTAATAGTGCTTGGGGCTGTTTAATCATTAAAGGAAAGGAATGAAATCAGGAGAACCTCAAAGTCCAGCCTGCTCGGGACCAGCATTAACATATGAGCAAGGAGTTAGCAACAATGGGACCTGGAGCTTCAAGGGATGGAGTTAGAGCTGATCCAGCGCCAAACTCATTACTGAGTTCTGAAGTCAGCCCGCACGTTTATGACCATATGAGCAAGGAGTTAGCAACAATGGGACGTGGAGCTTCAAAGGGTGGAGTTAGAGCTGATCCAGCGCCAAACTCATTACTGAGTTCTGAAGTCAGCCTGCACGTCTATGACATTGTGGTGGTGGGCATCTACTTTGTCTTCATCATTGCTGTGGGAATCTGGGTGAGTAAAACCTGAGATTGGGTCCCAGCACAGAGGCAGAGTGGTCTTTTTGTCTTGAGCTGAGGACAGAAATGTGAAAAAAGGAAGCAGAATACACTGCCACAGGGAGGTGACACAGATGGGACTCCAGGAATCAACCTCTCCCCAACCTGGCTTTCCATACACTGGTGACAGAGGCCCAGAGAGTTCTGTGTTTTGCCCAAGGTAACAAAATGAGCCAAAGGCAGGTAAGCCTAGAGACCCCAATCCCAATTCCCTGTCTTTATGCATATGCCACCTATCCAATCATTTTGAGCCTGACCTCCCTCTTCTCTACCTCAAGACTCTCAGCTCAGAGAAAACTCAACCACCAGCACTCCTCCAGTCCTGACAGTGTCTTGAACAAGGAGCTCAGGCTCATATAATCTTAGGGAACATCATCAGCCAGATTCTATGGCCCCCTCTGCTCATAGTAACTCACATTGCTGTGGGCAGGTACAAGGTGTTGACATCATAGAATCCTAACTTGGATATCAACTCCAGCAGTCAGAGTCATGTAGTCCCAGGATGAAGAAGCCTCTTAGTTTTCCCATGTGGTTGCAGTTCAACTGTAGAAAGTTAAGATCATTCAGTGACAGGACACATATAAGTAGCTGGCACAGTGCCTGACATGCAGGTGGCAGGCAATAAACAGCTATTATCACCGCAAGTTTCTACTGTTAAGTACTTTTAGTAATTTCATACTGCTGGGAGGCAAACTGTGACCTGAGTCTCAGCTTATCAGAAATATTCTATAGACCTCAGTGTTCTCCTCTGTGAGGGCAAGTGAGAGATCCTGATTCACAAGGCTGGTATGAGTAAGAAATGAGCAGACAAGGCTTAGCAGTCCCTGGGAGGCAGCCAATTTAAAAAGCCCCAATTCCCTTATGGGTTGGACAAGGCCCTTCCTGCCCTGTGACTCAATATTCTCATGTGTAAAATGAATTTGTGTTGCTCCTGTTGCCTCCAAGAGCATCAGAAGTGACAAATACAGGACAGTTCAAGCCAAAGCTTAACAAGCATCAGGCCCTGTATGCATGGTGTGTATCACTCCATAGTGATTTTCTCCTTTTCCTTTCTCTCCGTCAAAGACTTCTCTTATCTCAGATCTGGTCAGAGACTTGTTGCTGTCCACATTGAAGTAACTTCTACCCCTGTGCTAGCTTTCTATTGTGACAAAATACCTGAGAAAATCCACTTAAGAAAGTAAAGATTTATTTTGGCTTAGGGTGTCAGAGGTCTAAGCCCGTGGTCCACTAACCCTATTTCAGCAGATATGTGATAAGGCAAAAAAATCACGGCAACAAGAGCATGTGACTGAAGAAGTTTATCACTTCGTGGAAGCTGGGAAGTAGAGAGAGAGGGGAAAGAAAATGCTATGAGGACAAGACACACCCTTCAAAGACACTCCTTTGGGGACCCATTTCTTCTAATCACGTCTTTCTATAGTTCTTACGACTTCCTGATAGTCCATTCAATTATGAATCCATTAGTAGATTAATCTATGGATTAGGTCAAAACCCTCATGATTCAATCATTCCGTTAAATCTCCACTTCTGAATATTGCACTGGGTACTTAGTATGTGAGCCTTGAAGAAAACCACAACACATCCTACCCCACTGCCTATGGTGATAAGACTCTCATCACACCCTGCCCACCTATCTCTAGCTACTTTTAACCTGACTTACAACCTCTTCTCCATCTCAAGACCTGTAAATTGGAGAAAGCTTAACTATCAGCCCTTCTCCCATCCTGTTAGTGTTTTGATCAAGATTGGGTTCATGTTCCCAGGAAAATCTCTTATATGCCTGTTCCTCTTCATTCTTTAGAGCACATTCCCAAACAGATTGCTGACTGATTCCTATTAGTTCCTTCCAAGATCCTCCATAGGCTCAGTGCTTACCACTGAGGATTCTGAGTTCAGGTCATGTCAAGGGAGGTCACAAATAGAGCCTTTTATTCTGCCCAAGGCCCATGTACATTCTGCCAGAGACCATGTATATAAGGGCCAGAGCAGTACCACACTGTCCAATGTGGGAGTCTGACTGGGAAGAAGAAAGACCAGCTCAGGGGAAAGGGTCACTGACAACCTGAAACTAAGATTCCAAACCACCTCTTGCAAGTAGTCACTGACAGAGGGAAGATTAAGGAAATCCTAATGACCCCTCAAATGTTTGCACAGTGCTTTGTTACTCATGAAGACCCTCAAGATCCTTTACCTCCTTTGCTTTTCACAGCATCCCTAGCAGAGCTTGTAGAGAGACAGTGACTCTCCCATACACCCATAGCTTAAAAATGGTGAAACCATCAACACTTAAATAGCTCTGTTCTCCCTCAGTTCTTGCCCTATGTCCCCACAGTGCCTATACTGGAGGATGCAGGCAATCAGGAGTGAAGGGCAGGGGCTAGAGAGACACTTGAGAAGTAATGACATCTTTACATTTCCTTTCCAGTCATCCATCCGTGCAAGCTGAGGGACCATTGGAGGCTATTTCCTGGCTGGGAAGTTGATGAGCTGGTGGCCAGTGATTTGACCTTCCCCTTTTCTCTCACAAGGTAGAGACTCTTAGCTATCCTCTCTTACCTGATCACCCATGTTCTTCTCTCATGTTTTCTTGCCTGAACCCAGGCAACACCCTCCCATTGGTTTTCCTGACTTTGGGCTCCTCTGTTGGCACGGCCCACCCAGAAGCCTGAGCTGTCTCCCCTGGGTGCCTCTTACCTGTGTCACAAATGGTGCACTAATGGCTCTTTTGCTTTATTCACACAGAAATCAGAGATAAAGCTTAATGTTGATGGCACTAAACTTGAGAAATTTATGAGCTGGGATTCCACACTCAGAAACTAGTAACTCTACATCTATAGAAGCAGGCTCCCAGCTTTCAGAGCCAGAGTGTTGTTGCCTGAAGTGCTTGAAGGTTATTCCTCTGATCTTCAGGTGCCAGTATCCAAGAGCTGGCAGTTCCTGAGCTTCGAGTGTTGGGGCCCTTAGCTCCTTAACCCTTAGCGGTTATCTCAACGTTTTCCAATGAAGTCATGGTGAAGTTATCAGCACTTCCAGTGACCCAGATTTACAGTCCTGTGCTCTCGGTTTCCATCTTGGCTCTTCACATTCTCAGGTTCTCAGTGCTTCCATTATAATTTTAGGCTTCTTCCAATTTCTGCTCTCAGTTATGCTCTATAACTCTTCAGCCTACTGTTGTATCATAGAGCTTTAAGGATCAGGGCCCTTAGCTCCCCAGGGGTTCTCTGGAACTCTTAGTTGCCTTCTTATCAGTGCTGCATCTGTGCTCCAGGGTCCAACATCTGCTCTTCATATAACCAATGCAGACTGCTCCACCTGTAATAAAGACCACAAGCAGGCAAAGAGTCCCTTGGCAGTAGACTATATGAGTCCTAATGTTACAACACTGAGATGCAGCAGGTATGTGCAGGGTATACAAGATAGAAAATTCTCAGACTAAAAGGAGTAACAACAATCACCTACTATAGCCAGAAGAAATGTGACACATTTTTGTTCAGATTATAATTCTACCAGTCACAGCCTTGTGTGTGAAAATTTATATATATATCTTCCATTTCCACCAATCACACACCTTATATAAGGAATAGTCACAAGCTCACATAAGGATCAGTCCCAATCCTCACATTGTACCAGTACCAGATTTTTCTGTGCCACCAGGTACGTGTGACCTATTCCTCTCCTACCTAAGTAAATATAGTTAGAGGAAGTGTAGGGTCATCTAGCATTCACTAAGGCTTGTCTTGCCCAAAATGTAGTCTTCCAAATCTGGTACAGGTTTCCTGAAGCGGTCATAAGTACAACAAGATCTCTCAAAGCAGAACTTTGTGGCTTCAGCAGGGCTGTACTTTCAGCATTCCTTGATGTTGGAGTATAGTTTCCTCAGTGAATCCATGAAGTGTTCAAAGCACCTGGAATACCATAATGGTCTCACCACTCACTCAAAAAGGAGCTGCTTGCTTGACAGCTACCCAATCAAGGCAGTCAAGCAGAAGGGAAGCTGTCACTCAAATGACAGGGTAGCACGTTCTCTCCACAGTTTTGCTCATTCACAGGAAACAACAAAAAATTAGAAGACCCAGGAAGTAAATGTTCTTAACAGCATTTAGCAGTGCTTTCCCCGCTATCTAAATGCCCTGGGGAGAGTTGAATCCTTCTGGTCTGTCTC